TTTGGCGCGAAATTCATTCGCCCACTTGGCTAAACAGAGTCTCGGCATTGTAGCTGATGTCAGTTCGTTATGGAAACTCTAAATCTAAGTCATAACCCTGACTATCAACTGTGAATTTTAATCCTTATTCTTTAAAATGTTTTATAACCATCATTTAGCCCTAGTAAGTAGGTCACTTTAGCGTCGCCAAAAGGTCGTCCATAGATTACAGTCTCCCTAATCTTTCTTCTATATGCTTCATTTTTGGGTTGTTTTTTGTTCTTATTTTTATAAATGTAAGAAAGTCTGTGTTATACACGACACTGTTTTGTGACGAAACAGTCACCTTTCTTGAGCATATATTACAATTTCCTTTTGAAACAGTCTGTTTTTCGCTTTCTTTTTTATTCGATTAATATGAAATTTGCGCATCATGCATATTTAATTAATGATTAGTCATTTTTCTCATTCAATTACTATGTATCTTATCAATGTAATAATATATTTCAAAGGTTACTGAGATCATGACAAAAGAATTTTATCTCTGCTGAATCTGAATAAGAATTACATAATTTTGTATAATAAGTGATTGTATAAATCTATCTATCAAATCTCTCATTTAAAATGTAAAATCACATTTAATTATCGACCATTCTATTCAAGTTACTTATAAGTAGTAAATAACGTTTTTATAAATTTATAAATACTTCTTATGTATACATATATTGTTCTTTTTGTATCATTAAAAATATATTATCATTTTCTAGATATCATGGTATGCTAAACGTTTGGGTGTTGCCTATGTGTACAATTTAACAGAATTGTATATGTTACAAGATAAATCACCGGAACTTTCAGAATCATGGATATTTTTACGTAAACGAATTGAAGATTTACGATCTATGAAACAGATGAATGTAAGTTGTATGTCATTTTTCTTCTTTTCTTTTGAAAGTTTTCATGTTATTGTAGAATTAAACTTGTAAAGCTTGCCATTGATTGTTCAGTAATTCATGATCAATATCGAGTTTATGTTGACGAAATCCTGTTTATTAAGTTGTAATGTAACCTTCCGTCTAAGTGATTCAACGTTACATTCATTATAACTCATATGTAAAATGATTTTAGATAGTAGATGGGAAACTCTAGATATATTTTTAGTGTTATTTAGCACCCGCCAACATAGTGTACCTGTAATCTTGAGGTAAATGGTTCTCGCGCAATTGATATATTCGAATCGGCATTTAAATCGCTTGACATAAGCATTGACCTCTACTCACTGATTAGTCAATTGCAAATATCTCAGTGCCACAGGAGGTTGTTCGCATCTTGAATAGTCCAGTGGTAATGTTACTGTTTGTAAAGCTGGTGTGATTCGGGATTGAATGTGCTATTGAGTACCGATTCCTTCAAGATAAACGGTACGCTGTGTAGTATAAAACTTTATTTCAGAATTTCTGCTCAACTACTTCCAACCATCGAACATGGAACCCAAAATAAACGCGTAGTTTCATTTTCGACGCAATAGAATATAAATAATGGGTACTGATATACAAATCGGGATTCAAATATAGACCCCACTATATTCAGATAGGTGACTAAGTTTCAATAGATTCTAAATGATTATTGACTTTTGTCATTGGTTTTACAGGATCGAGCTGATCTAAACCTGTTACCTCATCAATTTTTTGTATGAATATTCTAATATCACCTTCAACATCTTTCCAATGAATTTTAACGATCATAAGCAGAACTAGATTTTTTCTTATGTGTTATTGGTAAGCTGCATCTCAATAGGTTTCTCTTGCATATTTTTTTCAAAATTAGGATCCACATCGTTGAACTAAGAACCTCACCATTCCGACAGGGAAAATTTCCTTGATGTAAGTTAGTCGGCGGTAATTGGTAGGAGACTCAAATAACCCGGCAGTAGCACCTGACTTTAAAACCGAGTGAGACTGAATCGAATACTACAGAAAGCGTCAGCTCTCTATAACTTGCTAGTAAACCGTACTGGCAAGTCCTAACTAGAAAGAACCCTAATTCCAGGGTTTCCTACCGACTACCTTCAATCATCTTACATCAAAATGTAGTTCTCGTAATGTTGAATTATTAAGACTATTGATTATATACCAATTTTATCAATTCGCCCCCAAATGCCCTGGTATGGCCGAGAGCGGTATGGGTTCGTCCTCCCTCTCGAAATACTCTCACACGGCCGCGAGTATACAGCCTCTGCCAGGGAAGTCCTACTCACTGCCTTCTCGTGGCGAGGGTGTTGTTTACGAAAATGAGAGGACGAAAAGCGAATGTCCGGCGCTTTAACCGGATCTCAAACCAATGGTGCACATGGGCTCCAGTATCCTGCGGGGACAAATGGCGTATGAACCAATTTTCGGTCACCGGCTACCATGGAACTGCATCTCCTTACGATGCTCCACTGCCTTGTGGGTTAGACCTTTAGGTAAAAGGCTCGGGGTGTGGCCCCCTAAGATAACCACCTGCTTCGGTCTAGGCACCCGGGCAGTATCGCAGCCCACACGCAATTAATGAACTGAAATTGTATGGCGCATATATATTTGGCGCACTCCTGTACTAATATATTTGTGTTCAAATAAAATAAAATAATGGAATTCATATATCTCATAATCATTTTGTAAATATTCATCGTAATAAAACCCAATGTACTTTGGGTACGTATATCCACCTTATCGTTTTTTCAAAGTAAATTCATCCAAATTGAGACGCAACATTTTTTCAAATATTTTTTTTATTCTTGTGAAATTTTAGTTGAAGGCTGCATCAAGTATGCTTACAAATGGTGTTTTAGCTTTTGGAAATGTTGTAAGTTATCTTAATATTTTGAATTTCCTATCAATTTATAAAATTAATTGAAAAGAAATTTCTTCACTTGATTCGTTCCTTTATAAAATATCAGTCCTAAATATCAACTACATTCCTACTTCCTATTCAAGTTATTGACTTTGTGAACTCGTTAGCTTAACGAATAATTTGTCTGCGTTTAAAGAAGTATTTATTAGGTTATAGTCTCAATGTGAAGATCAACACTAAGATTTCGGTGTATCCAACGCGTCCTGGTTTTCCACTGTCATCCACTATTTATATACTATGCTATTATCTGTGATTATTTATTATAACAAAGGGATTTTCTTTCCGGAAATTAATATTAATGAGTTTTTATACCTGCTACTTAGTCAACAGCCTTAACTATTTGAATAATCTTCCTACTGAATAAGTGCTTAACTTCAATTTATATTGAATGCGGACATGTTTCGTATGTGTACGTCTACTGTTCTTGTCTAATTGAAACAGCCTAATGTTACATTTGGATCAACAGTTCTGCTGGGCTATTTTTTACGATATTATTAATGTTAAACATTAACAATATTTAATGAACACAATGAAAACATTCTAAAGTTTAGAACTTATACAAATTGTCGCAATACATTTTATAGCTAGATGATTTTTCTTTTCATATTAGTCTCACTCGTTGGTAATAATAACGGAATTGAGAGGATGAAATGTGATTTAACCGGGTTAGAAAATCCATCTAGAGCAGATGGAAAATCCTGATTGCAAAACAGTGGTGCACATGGACTCTAGGATCCTGAGGAAACAAAGGGCGTATGAACTTATTGTTGGTCACTGGCTACCATGGGACTGCATCTCTTAACGTTGTTTTACTGCCTTATGTATTAGACTATAGATCAAGGGTTGAGGGGGCGACCCCTCTAAGGAAACCACCTTCTTCAGTTTGGGCACCCTGATAGTACTCCAGCCGTCATACAACTCGAATGATGAAGTATTGCACGTATATATTTGGTGCTTTGTACCAATATTTACGTATTTAAATGGTAAATAAACAATAACACAATAGCGTTTATCATTTCACATAATTCTTCTCAATATTCTTGTCTAATAAGCAACCGTTTTTTTTACATATACAAATATAATTTCACAAAATTGATCATTTGTTTGTTTGCTTTGTTTTCTCTTTCCATAGACTTGCAATATTCTCGGATGGAATCGTAACAATTAGAATGAGATGTTTGTTTCTTTTTGTGATAGGAATATTCTCGTTTTTGCTGTTTCTTACTTTTTTTCAAAATAGTAGATAAAAACCAAGACTCTTTCTATTCAATTCTTTTTTTGATCTTCTATTAGGTTCTGTATTTAAAAGCTTCGTATCTAGTGATTATAGTTGTATGCCAATATTATTCATAACGTAACTGTGTGTACATTTTATACTTGTGTTTTATTAATTTATCTTTTATATTCTTTATATAGAAGCAGAAATAAAAACGAAATATACAACTACTAATTGTGGTTTACTTCTTTTATTTACTGAATGTTTTTTTGTTTTTGCATAATATGACGATTTCGATATGTTTGTGGAAATTGATTCATGTCGTAGTTTACATTACAGACTGATCTTATTCAGACAATTGGTGAAAATCAGAAAACACTGATGAGCTATTTCATCCTAGTATTGTGGTGTGTGTTACTAATGTCAATAGATATAGGTAGTATGTATCACCAATCGAAAGTGGAATGTCTAGCGGCAGAAGGTTGAGAAAATCGAAAAGAAGAGAACGAGAACAGAAAGTGATCAGTATGGAAACGAGAGAACAACAAAATCTGAGACACTTGATGGATCTTCTGCAAATGAAGTACTTACTGTATGATTCTCAGATTTTACCAAGACATTCTGTAATTTTTTATTCAAATACATTTGGTTGTCAGCACTTTTGTCCTCGTTCACAACAGTATCCCGAATTAATTGGTACTGAATTCCCACTCATTGATGTTAAGGCTAAGCACATACGTCTCAAAGTTGTTAGATTCCTAGTGACGTTGTAGATGCCCATTATCTGAGACGTTCGTTACTGGTATGAAACAGCTGTTGAGGGCTACTAATGATTATTTAACTAAAGTTGGTTTATGATTACAATTGTTTATCCATTTTTCTATTTACTTTTAGGCTTCGTTGTTTCATGTGAATGGCGTCAGGTTTTCGTAGTACCGTTTGGGATCCAATTCTAATTATCAGTCAAATTGTATTTATGCAATGTATATTTTATATATCTGCCGGTTCCATTTCTGGACTTCTACTAATAATCATTTCACATAATTTACCAACATTGGATATGATTTTTATTGATACGAAAATACATTTCCCCGATTCAATCGGTATATGTCTCTTTATTGGTTTTCTATTAACTCCATTAATATGTAGTATTGGATTATGGTTTATTGTAAAACGCAGTAAACAATGTCTCGATTTTTCATGTACTATACATTTTTGGCATTTTATATTTTGTATTATTTATTCGCATAGTTTCCCTCAATCTATACTTTGGTGGATTGTCAATTTATTATCAATTGCTATAATGACAGTAATGGGTGAATTTTTATGTATGCGGAGTGAAATGGCTGAGATTCCTTTAAGATCTACATACAGTGTTAGTTGATTATATAATCATTATCACATGGTTATTATTTATACTAATTACATTATTTGTGTTTTGATTTTCGCCATTCATATATTTATTAAGATTTTATTTACTTTATGAGTTATCGTAACTTTATTCGTGATAAATATCTGTATCATTTCCGCCATTTTTAAATTGGTTCAGCTTTACGCCTCTTGTTATCATTGTTATTTTTTGATTAAAGATTGTTTTTATTTGTTTAGTTATGTTGTGTGTCGTTTAATTATCACTTCTTAGGAAAAAGAATTTTCTCTCCAGTATAATCAACCCTCAACTGAATTTGTGACTAAGTTCTGAATTTCGAGATTTTTATTGTTGATCGTTGTTTAGAAATTGAGGTTTTTTCCGAAAAAGTAGTTACATTGTATCGACATTTCTTCAGTTCTTACTGACCCAGTTATCATTTGTTTTATGATAAAAGTATGAATCGTAGCCGAGTCCCTCCAACAGTACACTTTAGTGTTACCAACCTAGGGCTGTATAAATTATCCTCCGCATAACATATAAGTGGCCCGGTTCTATGCATTATATGAAAAAAATATTGGCTGAGGTATAGACCGATGACATTCACGCACTAAGCTATTGAGAACTGTTATTATCCAACGGGCAATCACTCATCAACTGACATACGGAATCAGTCATGTTTCGGAAGTTGTTTGGCCAGGCTGCATTGAAATCACGTTTTTCTGAATAACCCTTTAATTTTCTGAAGTTCCAACTGAACCATAATTACTACCACTATCATCGACGGAGTCGATACCATGTTAATCAGAATGACGAGATATCGGCAGAAGTTATTTTGATGCTTTACACTGGATAATGGCTGTTATGGAGAGATTTTGTACACTTTAATTTGATCATTGTGATATACAAGGTATAATTGATATAAGGACAAGTGTGATTGTTTGTAAACTAAGGTGAATCGTCTTTTTGATAAAGTGTATATGTGGAAACGACTTGCTTCTGTGATTACTGATGTCCACCTATATCATGGGAAAACACTTTCCCGACTTTTTTATATTCATGTGGTTAAAAATCTAACTTTTATGATATCCATCTATACAATAAGTCGACCTAAAATTTAAAAGAGAAGACTAGGTCGATATGATTAGTCTTATCTACATTATTAAGCTAATTCTGTTAACCTAGTTTAGTCTGGAATGATGTGACCGTAGCATTACATAATCTTATACATAAGTTACACCTAATTATCTCTTAAAATGATGATCTATCAACCAGGTTATCTGGTCTCGTTTGGGGATTTAGTTAACGGTTGCTATTATCAATGAAGTGATTGAATAACTTGAACACACTAACGTTAACTGTTGCACTAGCCTCATTATAATCCTTTGCATGTATGTCTATCTTTTTATTTGTTAACCATATTGGTCTGTAAATATTTGAGAAACGCTCAATAGGCGACACTCGACGGTTTGTAGTCACTTCAATATAATGCAGATTATAACAGTTTAATGCAGTTCTGGATTTATTCTATTCTAATACAGTTTCTTGATGGTTTATTGTGAATGTCATTTCTAATATACTGCAGTTGCGGATGATTATGGGGCTTGTGCTGATATAAATCCAATAAAACTACGAAGACGTCTTACTGTGTAATGCATTTATAACTATTATTTTAGTCAAGTTGCGTCCATGCAGTGTTTTGATTTTTTATTACTACTGTATATCCCAGTTAGTTTTGATATAAATTTAAAGGATCCCGTCTCGAGTCTTTATTTATTCATTTTACAATGAAAGTAACATCTACGGTCTTTATGAATTTTGATATATTGTTTCACGCTTGGTGATCAGTCTTACGCACATTTTTCGAACATTTTAATAAAAACCGAAAAGGAGCAGAAATATTGACGATATACATATACTTTATCAAAATGATACAAGTCATGAAAACTTCGTTTGCAACGACAAACAAATAACTTACCATAACATCATCTATTATTTGTCAGGCCTGCGGTGATGTGAGAATGAACAGTTGTTGGTAACTTAAGGCACGAAATACCAACCTATGAACAAAAAACATTGCTATCAGTATATAATGTCGTTTCACTCAATTTTATGCTGATAGTTTTGAATTTTGATTTTCACCTGCGTACTGTACTTTGAGATTTGTCATGAACCGCGGGAAGTACAAATTGATAGTTTTCCTAGGTCCCTCGATCACAGTAGAACTTTAACAGTTGTGGCGTTTCTATGAACTCATAACTCCTGTGTACTCGATGTCTACCTGGTTTTGAATTATGAATATATAAGGCGTTCGTTTGCGCTCACCTAATTCTGTTTGGTTGAAATTGGACTATTTGGGAGATTGCTAGTTCATTTAGTAATCTAAATCCTCCTAATCATCACAACACTGCAACAGAAAGCACGGGGCAAATGATGTTCACCACGAACGTGAGTTACTTGAAATCAATTTGTCGAGTTAGCGGTCAATAATGATTAAAATAACATGGATAGGTACATCAATTCTGGCCCAGACCCGAATACAACAAAGTTACCGAGTGAAATACACTTTTTTTAGTAGTCGACTGACTGGCCGACAGGAAGGCAACACCTAGTTGCTTAGAAGTGAAAGTATGAACATGGATTCTTTAAATATTTCGAAAAATATCTTTATCGTGTGTAAGAATCTATTTGACAAGGAAACGCATCACCTTGATCAGCAACGAATGAAAAATAACCGCGACATTTTCAAATGTCAAATTCAAACCAGTCGCCATGCCCACTTCATCAAGTCTGACTTGATAAATACCTGCTAAAATAAAGTGATATTTCGCATTTATTCGGTGACCAGAGTTGTTGTTGGCTGAGGCACGCTCGACGAAGGCAATCAGTTTTTGTAATTCGAGAATTTTCATTCTACCTGGCCCATGTACAGTAATCAAACTGCAACAGGGTTGATTAGTAAAGGAGTGCATGAGAAAATTCTTTCTATCACATCAAGAGCGAGGACATCAAAGAGTTGTTTTGTATTGTTACGGATGTCATTATTTCACTTATATAATAGAAATATGTTTCGACAAATTTTTAAACAACTCACCCGTGAACACTAACGCATATAACATCAATCAACAGATGTACAACACAATGATTGGCATGAATTGCTCCCCAGACCAATGGTCGGTACATACGAACGAATGAACACTTGGAACTATACCATGACATCAAGCAAAATTAAGGAGATCAGGGTACAAGCAAATGCGGTCATATAAAACGTTCTCATGCGGAAAAATAGCAGTTTTATATTTTTTGTATGGTTTAAGAAGGCGTCTTGAAGGAATAATAATGCCATTACCGTTACACAAGAATTGGTCGTTGAACAGTCTTGCACGCTTAAACGTTCATCAGTTTCAACTGTACGCTACGTTCTAGGTCATTTTTTACGGTTTGTGAATTTCTAGATTCATTCCTTGTTCTCTCTTGAGTTACAATAACAGCTTATATACCTGTACAATGCTCATAATGAATGCTTGTGATCGGAAACTTTAATCTAATTTTTAATGCAAATCATCAACAGTAAAAGAGAATTCTAACCTGTTTATAATCCTCATTTAATCCTAATCAGTCGGTGTCCGCTCTCATGTCACTTCAGCGTCGCTCAAAGATCGTCCACAAATTGTAGTCTCACCCTTGTCTCTAACCGTGATCTGAAAAATAATTAGTGTGTTTCACGAACATATATCAAGAAAGCTTTCAGTACACATAAATGTTTACCTACTACATCTAGTTAGTGCGAAGTTTTATTTGGGTGTGAGGAATATCCAATTCACCAAGATTTACTTGTACAATAACAGAACTTCAGTGACAAGCAACGTTCTAATCACTTGAGTTTTAAAGTTGTGTTTTTTTAATGCTTCTTAAACGTCTGTGACGTAGAATGCTCAAACGTACAGTCATATTGCAAAGAGTAGATAACTGTATCTACTAAACGAAAGGAAAGTGCTCAAAGCCGTAATTGTATTTTCTTATAACACTTGTTCACTTTATCAATCATACCATGGAAAAGCCTTTGTTTAGCCACATCGTTCACGTTTGTTAGATGTTCCTCGCTGACGTTAACAGATGAAAATTGTGATGTTAGTACACTTTCTAAATAACATAAACTAAATGTGGTCTTATTTTGTATAGCTTCATAGGATCTGTACTTTGTAATTCTGTGTTTCGTAATAGTATCCATATACGTAGTTCTGGTTTGTTGAAGTACAATATTATAGACATGAAGGACGTTTACGGATAGTGATACATTAGTCTGATGATTATTGCCATCTAAATAATAGATAAACTGTAAACTAGATTGGCTTAAATACAAATTAATTACTTGCAGCTTGTTGCTGAGTAAACATATTTAAAGCTTGCAACTCATCTTCAGTTGTCGAAGGTAAGTGTAGGTCGACTAGTCCTCCGCCAAATTATTTTGACTGGTTACCTGTCGTTGGTTTTTTCAACGGTAGAATTAATTGCCTCATACTTTCAGATAACTCTCCAACCTCGTCTGACAGTGTTTTCATGTTTGCATTTATCTTTATATGATCTGCAAGACTTCAGAAAATATCAAAGTTGACCCTCTGTTATCTTATTATGCTCACTCTGTATCGTATTTTTTTTATTAGTAGTGCTTTTATACATAAGCCGTGTATATGATATATATATATATATATATATATATATATATATATATATATATATATATATATATATATATATATTGAGGCTCTTTAGAATACTAAACTTATTAAATGATAACTTGACACTTTTAGATGCTTATAAAAGGCTTAAACATTTACAGATTCTTAAAGCCTGTTGGAATACGGGTACGTCATGTATTTGATTGAATTAATTGTCGTCTTGAACGTTTTAGCACGTAGTGACTTTGACCAAAAAATATCCTCGCAAAGTACCTTCTATTTTGTTGGCAGAAGGTATTTTGCCCAAATTGACCGCAGATGACATGGTATACGAAGAGGTCAACATAGAAACAAATGAATCCCCATGTATAAATGTTTTATTAACAGATAACGTGCCTGGTATGTCAATATTTTTATGCTGAATCGCTTCATACCTGTTTAAAACACTAGGGCGTTTTCGGAACATTTTGGATTGAAAGGCTAACAGAAGGTCTACTGGTTATTTATTGTCATCTTTCTGTTGAAGCACTTCACGATTTCAATCATGAATTATTGACGACTGTTACTCTTCGACATTTTATTCCAAGTCTTCTGATTTATTTTAACATCTTTTGATCTTACTCTTTTACCGTTTTTATTCAATTCAGCACTTAATCATATTCGTATTTCTTTCATTCAGTCAAACTGTCTGTTGCATTTGCAAGGTTAAATTTTACCCTCAAACGTTTATTTACAATATGGAAGTTCATATTCATTTGTAGTTTATTAGTATTTGTCCAATCTATCAACTAGTAATCTTCAATACGTAAAATTAAAAGATCTATATTACTTTTCTTGTCAATGTAATGTAATTGATCACACCATTCCTATGCGGACTCAAATGTAAAATTATTTATTTTATTATTTATTTCAACACACAGATATTGGTACAAAGAGGCACCAAATACATATGCGCCACACAAATCTCATTCGATATGTGTGAGGTCTGTGATACTGCCCGGGTGCCCAAACCGAAGCAGGTGGTTTTCTTAGGGGGCCACACCCCGAGCCTTCGACCTGAGGGCCTGATCCACAAGGCAGTGGAGCATCGTGAGGAGATGCAGTCCCATTGAAGCCGGTGACCAACAATTGGTTCACACGCCATTTGTTCCCTCAGGATACTGGAGCCCATGTGCACCATTGGTTTTGAATCCGGTTAAAGCGCCGGACATTCGCTTTTCGTCCTCTCATTTTCGTAAACAACACCCTCGCCACGAGAAGGCAGTGAGTAGGACTTCCCTGGCAGAGGCTATATACGCGTGGCCATGTGAGAGCATTTCGCGAGGGAGAGCGGACTCTCCCCACTCTCGACCGTACGAGGGCATCTGGGGGCCCCGTACCAGGGCATCTGGGGGCTAAATGTAAAATGATAGTCAGTAAAGCAGAAACTATCAAGGAAATTTCCTGACTAAAATTCTCACAGTAGATCTAAAGTGCAGCGCAATATCTAGAAATAGAGTATTTGAATTACAGCCCAAAATATTTACAAGTATAAAAAGCAATTAAATTGTTTGCCGTATGTTATCTCATCAAAACAGAAGGGGTAGTAGTAGTTAAAAATCAGCAACTTATAAAGTGCTGTTGTATTTAATGTTGTTATTACTTCTGAGTCAGGCTGAAAAATATATTTGACAGCAAGTTTTAAATAGGTACAAGATGCTGAATAAAAATGCATATTTCTTTTGCCCTAGGACTTGGATCTGTTGGAACAGTAACCCCTGTACATCGTAATAAGTTCTGGAGATATTTGTATATTAAGGGACTTGCTGAGCTACCGACAGAAGAAAGAATCAACGAAATGAAGTTGAAACAAACAGTTAGTTAATTCCTCTTTATAATTGTGTTACTTTAGAATAATTTTTTTGGAAAAAGACCAATTTTCGCTGTTATTACTTGCCTGTTCCAGTTCACTTATATACATATAATATATTTAGCATGTTTTGTCTTATTTTACCCAGTATGGTAAATAGACTACATTAAGTTTTACCCATCAGTAGTTTGTACGTAAATATTGTTCTCATCCTCTTAATTTTTTTTAGGGAAGACCAACTGTTCTATGTGGTGAATCTTATGTTCTTCAACAACGCTTGTCTAATATGACCCTATATATACCTATGAATCCATCTCGAGAATGGATTCTCAATAAAACTCATGTTAAAGTTGCTTTAAGACGATATGTAAGCTATATTCGATAGAATTTCACTAATTGTTTTTTTCTTTAGGGTTTCGCAATAAAGGAACATTATATCACATTACCAAAAGAAGAAATAACTTCAAAAAATTCTACATCTTCATTTAAAATTAGCGTTAATGTAAATCTAACAAATATATTAACAGCTTATCTTGACATTATTTGTTTCTATAGTTCGCTTTTTTTTTCTAATAAAATCTTTTGTTTGATTTGTTAATACTAGTAATCCTTAAAAAATGACCATAGACACAGATATCGCTTTTATTCTATATTCATAATGAATACGTACATTGTTACATACAATTCAACTGAATTTCAGTATCACTTGAGTTTTGTAATACAACTTTTTCACATCCTAAATCTAAAATAGACTTATACCAGTCCCCGAAACGATTGTTCATTATTCTGAATCATTGGATGGAGACTTACTCTTATTAATTGGATATTATAATGTTGGATTTCCATTTGAGATTTATTTAGTGATTAAACACGTTAAATGGAACAAATGTGCGGGATTGAAGCGTTTGATTCACGGCAATTTGATCACAAGTTTAAATCATGTTCTACTTCCTTGTCTGTGGACAACTGGGTCGTGTTACTAGCTTTCATACTAGAGGTTTTAGGCAAAGCCTGATTCCACATACAGATGGCACAATTTTTCATTTATGCAGTGGCAGAAAAAGCATTGAAGCGATGAAAATATTCGTAAGAAAATCACTACTCTTAAAAAAATCCAGGGCTTTTCTGCGCTATTTCTACATTTATTCTCCAACATAACTTGTCCGTGGCAAAATATACTAATAATTTTGATTTTTTTTATAGACTATTCTGAAAGCCTAATATAATCTTGAATAGTACTATCGAATTTACCTTATTCGTATTTTCATTCTTCTGAATCTATACTTTATATTTACAGGAATTACGAACAGATGTATATAACATTTAATGCTTCATTCCCAAACTTAACAAATCATTATCACTTTTGCGTGTTTTTTTGTTGTTCTTGTTGAAATATATAAGAACTCGAATTGGTTTGTTACTGTTGATTTTAATTAGCCAATAAAGATAAAAGAGGTCATCCGAATTTGGAAGGGATATTTAGTCTATTTATTTCAGTGTTTATATTTATGTCAAATGGAAATGACCATTACGTTTTTCTTTCTCACCTAACTAACATAGGTCCTTGTGTGTATATCTGGTACTAATGTGATCACAATAAGCTGTGATCGGTCAATGAACGAAGACACATATTTAGCTATAGTTAATATAAGTTATTGTTATATATTTAAAACTATTTCCAATCTGTTTCATTCAATGTATCGACTGCTTGTACTTTATTTAATAGGCTACTGGTCTGACCTATAGCTGATTCTTTATCTTGATTTGGATAATTAAGTCAAGTGTATCACATAATCTAGTACTCAGTCAACCATCAACCATCTAACATTTATTGTCCTAGTTTCGAATGTCAGTTCCTAGGATCAAGCAAACTCGTTTCGGTTACTATCATACAAGAGCTTTCAAGATATATTATGCAGCAATCATTTATTTGAGTGGCTAAATTGTAACATTTCAGTTCAATTCACTCATAGTTCATTTAAAAGATTAAACTTTCCAACAATGCATTTACTTTTTTTTTGTTTTACAGATTGATGATATTGTCAATGTTGTTGTTCCATGTTCAATATTTCTTTATCAAAAGTTGGATAAAGGAATGTGTACTCAACCGCCAACAAATGTTTTTAGAAAAATTAAAATTGAAGATTGGACTGCAGATTTTTCTGAAACTGATATTTTGGTTTCTATTTAGAATTATTCAAATAAAAATTGATATATTTTTTTCAAAATAATAATTGTTTTTGATTTTGTTTAATTTTATCAGGTTGTTTATATTTAATCTAAACATAGTTTATTTTGTCATTTTCAATTATTTGTTAATGTTTCTATTCTTTATATATTTGTGTATATGTATACTGTTAACTTCATTACTTATCTTTGTTTTATATAAAAAAACAGAAGAAAATTGGTAATAGTCGTCGATTCTTTTCGTATTTCAAACGTCAAGCATATGAACCAACTAAAATTAAACAACTTGATGACTCTAGTATAGGGTTTATGGTGAGTATAGTTGATTATTTTTTTAAAATTCTATAATGTCATGTTGATTTCTATATATTTATCAGTCAAACATAGGTAACATAAAACCTGGAATGTATATATATATATATATATATATATATATATATATATATATATCGACTCAAGTTGCCACACTATATCAGTACAAGGAGATGAAATTATTTAGAAAAATTTAAGAGTAGCAAAAGTACTAACAGTATTAGTAGTGATAATAACAGACGAAGTGTTTAAAATATGATTCGAGAAAAAAACATACTAAATTTGCTGACTGAAATTTATGAGTATTTTAAGACAAAGAATAAATACATCTGTAATATTGCCACTGGTTATTGGAGTTACATGAACCCCTACAAGATAGTTTGCACCTACCTACATTACTCAGACCAAAAAAACAATAACATCAAAGGCTGGTGCCAAGTTTCTGTCTAGCCAACCCTACCTTTCTTGCTTTATGCCAACAAACATAGTGCGTTGAAGTATACGGTGATTAAGCACACATAGTACATGTCCTACCCACTTGAGTCGAGGCAGATTCAATTAGTTCGCCATTTTTACCTAGTACCCTTTGTTTAATATCTACATTGTCTACCCGGTGATTGCAACGTTCATGAGCAATGTTTCGTAGTCATCTATCATCAAATGCCAGTAAGCTTAGGATGTCCACTTCGAAAGGCCGAATTTCATAACCATAAAGCAGAACAGGACGAATTACTACACACTGTCCTCCTTTTTTAGTTAAGCGATGAATATCTTGTCTACACTACAAGTAACATAAGTTTGCAGAAACTTAGCACGGTTGCTGATTTCTTGTTGAGACTTAATCAAGAGCTAACTCACTAGGGTCACTGAGACTTCCAACATGGATGAAACAATCGATGCGTTCGACTAATTCACTCCCATTAATTTAACCATTAACTCATATCAATTATAAAGCAGTATTCACGAGTATCGACGTACATTTTTAAAAATGTTTTCCAACAGTTGATACTTAATTCCAAGTATGTGAGTACTACTATAGTGAACGAGAACACAAGTGGGGATAATTGAATGTATTTAAATACAAAATTACTGGACGTTTTAGTAGAATCTGAGAACCATACAGTAAATACTTCACTTGAAAAATGTCAATCGATTGTCTCAGACTTCATTGTTCTTTCGTTTTCGCAGCAATCATTCTCTGTTCTCGTTTTCGTTGATCTTAAGCTTCTGCCGCCAGACATTTGGTTTTCGACTGATGATGCGTACTTCTTATATCTGTCGACATCATTAGCACACATCACAGTACACCATAATTGTTGTTTTTGCTAGCTGGCTTTTGTCAACTTATGATATTTTTTTCATTTGATATTTTCCTCATATTCATACTCCCAATAAGAATACTGTTCTTATTAGTCAATGGCTGATAATACGTTTTCTTATGTGTTTCTGTCGTATTTACCTTATGACAAATACTGCTTTATAATTTAGTGTTTCGGTTTTCCAGTCAAATTTTCATATTCTACAAAAGGTACCCTCAATAACTTCACAATAGCAGACTATAACATCCAAAACTAAATCATTCATAGTTAGTCTACCCATATGATGCAATGTTTTAAAGTGATCATTTTCAATAGTAATTTTCTCCAAGAAGAAAAACGACGTGGCTCATTGGTCAAGACATTCAAAATCAAACGCTCGAATTTGACTTCATCTATTTCGCTTCAGGCAATCAATTAATATCTCCAACCTCTGAATTTGGCGTGTTGCTTGAAGGCAAGTATACAAATCTGCACCCGGTGAATGAATTATTAATATGAAGGTGGAACAACAACAACTAGGCATAATATTGGAAAATTAAATAAATGTTTATATTATTCTATGAACCATACATATGGTATTCAAGTTCACATTAATATTTAATTCTACTGATCTAAAAAAGCTAATGCGTATTCAAACTCTTGATTGAGTTATTTTATTAGGTATCGGAATATCTCGGCAATTAGGTCATTTTTATTCACTTTGAGACAAAATGTGTCAGTAGTAAATTTTGAAAAACATCAGTGTCACACTTATAGTATCTTCGATTGACTCACATCAATTTCAGTTGTTGACAGTAGATGCAATTACACTTTGAACACCAAAGTAGTATGAACTAAACATCTTTTGTCACTTTGTAGGTTACGCTATCAAATATTTGTTCCCTAATACGCAGTATGAAGCTTTTTAATTCGTGACGCCATCTTACGTTAAAAATTGAAATATCTGTTTTATTCGATGTTTTCTCATTGCACACTAACACTTTACTATGCTTACTAGATTTATCATTATTATCGCAAATAATTCATTGTCATTCTTGATCTTGGTTTCTTCATAATCGTCTCTACGTATATTTATGTTTCTTACTCTTGATAATCTTGTGAACTACTCCAAAACTGAAGTCAATTAATTATCATATTTGAACAATCATCCTAACTCGACAAGCTACTACTGTGTTGATTGGTTTGGCGTGATCGGCGGAGAACTCTTGATCTAGTTGGAACTTATCAGCAAGGTGTACCTGCAATCTTGAATTAATTAATGCTCCTTGTGAAATTCAAACGAATAAGTTGATCAGTAGAATTCAATTATCATTTAAGGACTAGACAAATCTGATATTAATCAATACTCAGTAATTACTAAGTTGTAAATTACTACTGTCTTTTATGTACTTATATCAACCTGATCATCCTTATAAATACGCATGAATTCTGTGATTATTTTCAGATTTTTTCATTACTTTTATTGATACACTTCGGTTGATATTTCCTCAATTTTTATCTATATCTTCATTATTTCAGTTATCTGATTTAAATCATAATGGTAGAGTTGCATTAGCTCACTTTGATCATTACTACAGTGAAGCTTATGGACCAGTTGCTTGGCGTTCAATGCGTATAGCTTTATTAATGCCATCTAAAAAAGCTATTCTCTATAATCGTTATTTTCCCAATGTTAGTGAAACAATTTCATCATCATATAATAATGATGATAATCAGTCATTTTTACCAAACATAAACTTTATGCAAACATTAATTAAACATCAAAACTCTTTGACAAATAATGTATTTAATGCTGATAAGAATCCGAATATTATTGATGAGGTAACATGTTTATTAGATTGTTTGTTCTCACGCAAAAATTTTTTTAATTATTTAAAAAATTCATATAAATTAACAGTACAATGATAAATACTTTGTATCTATTATAACACGGAGTGTTTAAGTTTGATACTTATGCACACAACTTCCTGTATTCCAAACCTTCAACTGGCCATTACATGAGAAGACTGAGAATGAAGAAGGAAGTTCATTGGACTGAACCACTTGACATACTGAAGCATTCATATATATCATATACTCAGAAAATGAAATTACTACTTGTCCAATCACATGCACTTATCATTAGATTTTTGATTGGCCCAAGGTAGTCTTCTCACATGGCAAATTTTGATTGGTTAACTGTATCAGTATTCAATTATAATTTGTTTTCATGTCACATTATGAGACAATGTTTTGTAATCTTCATGAATTCTGTTAAAATAAAGTGTTGTTTTTTTAAATCAGGAAATTTAATTTCTTCGAAATATTCAGTCAAGATACCAATTCCTTATTAACAATGAGCGTCAAACTATATTTCCAGTTCATATTTTCAAATGCTCTTCTTATTCCGACTTATTGTTAATATTCAGAATTGAGTTTTTATTGTCTTTGTTATCATATATGTATATATTGTTATAATAGTCAAGAATTTCAGGGAATAAGTTTACTTAATTACTTCCTATTGTGTAGAGTTCGGTGGATTAAGTACATGGAATTCAATTTCTTTATTAAGATTCCTTTTTACTAATTGCCTTTTATTGTTATAACTATGTTGTAATACTGTTAGTCCACAATAGGACAGTTTCAGCGCAATACCTTTTAATATTACTATTGACTAATACACAGACAAGCATAACATTCAGATGCCTGTTAGATTTGGTCGATTCCAGACTGAATATCAGTTCGTGAGTTTATTGACTTATGATTCAACTTGTGAGGGACAAATGTACTCTTCTTTATTTTGAGATGTTGGGTGACGACATGCCCATATTATCTGCAGTGATATAGTTGTATTTGTTGTTTCTATAAGTCTTAGTATTAGTACTATTTTGTTTATTATTACTACTACTACTCTGGGATTTATCTTGATAATTCTATCTTGCTGCGTTAATGTAGTGTAGCAGCTTTAATCGATACACATATCTGCCAGGTTATACATTGTATATGACTGACTAACTGACAGTGGATTTCTTACGTCCAATTGTCCACTGTAATGCACATTACGATTTATCCTATTTTGTTCCGCAACTTGATAATTTCCTCCTTTTTTCGTATTGATGCAAAATGAGGCACTTTCTACACTAGTTCTTACATTTCTTGATGAATATAAAATATTCAGTCCTTCAAATGTGCAATTGTTTATTTCCATGCACTGTAAAACACACAAACGTCTACCTGGAGAACAATAAAAACTTTATGGTCAAACGATTCAGTTCAGAGAAAGCAACTTCACTAAAATTATCCACCTAAGTTAAAAACCTTCACCTTTTCAAAAACAAGGGTTTATTTTGTGTCACTTGTTCTTTATACTAGAACAAGTATCATACTTTGAAACGTACAACTTACACATGTTGAATAGCTGCATAATTAAGCTAGTGAATAATATCTTTTTATGCATCTTGATCCCTTGATAAATTTGGATAAAACAAACTTTCTAGAATAGTATGAATTGATTATATTGCAAATAGACTAAATTTATGTTTGTAATATTATTATAAAGATTCTTTATCACACAGCATAATCAATGAAGTTTAGTTAGGAACAACATATAAGAAACAAGAAAACGAAACATGTGTAACATAACAATTGAGATTAATTAGTAATTCCATATGTTAAAGATGAAATCATAAAAAAAGAAGAGTATGAAATTACAAATGATAGTAACCAGACGATGAATGGAAAAAGCATTGTAAGCAAATGAGTGATAAACATGGGGATCTAGTTGACATGAGATTCATGTTAATGTCATAACTGAATATAAGTGGAATATCTTATTTCAAGTTATATAATACAATAAAGAGATAATACAGGTGATTAGCGTTAAGTGAATCTATATTTCCATGGCAATGAAAGATTTACCACTCTTTCTGTATACAAAGGTCAGGTCAAAATCACTTGATGTCAATGACTCTTGAAATGCGAATTAACAGTGATGTTCGCTGCTTGTTAATTGTTTCACATACTTTTGTGATATTTACGTCATATTCACTCTCCATTAAGTGTTTTATGATCCTACTTCTGAATACTTTACTTCCTTTCTGAATATTTTCAAGAAACCTTGTAGATTCCGTTTTTTTAATGCTTCCTATTTACTTGTTTCCATAAATGTATGTAAATTTGTTTGGAGGTGACCTCAGAATAGTATTGATCTACTTTTGATTGATTTAAGAAACATCGCGTGTTATATTTCGAAAATAGTTGGGCTACAGCAAAGCTTGTCTTTAGCACTGCTTTAATTCTTTTATCAATTCTCCCTGAAATTTCTTCACTTTTGAATGCAAGAAGAATGATGATGGATTTTTCTACCAACAATTGTTTGTTTAGGACTTTCTGTTACCGTTTTTCTGTATATCATAATTATTTTTTTTGGAAATCCGTTCTTTAGAACGACCTCCCTAATGTACTCTGTTTTCCTTGTTTTTTTTCTCGGTTGGACACAATCTTCTAGCCCTGTCGAATGAGATTTTGTCTATAAAATGTTGTTTGTAACTAAATAAGATTAAAAACATTATAACTTAAGTATTGCCTCGTCCATGTTTCTTCTCTAAGTATGACCTTCATGATTGTTCTATCGTTCTACGTTTTATCTTTAGTCCTAAATAGTTAAATTAATTAATGTGTTATTTTATTCCATTATGAATTTGACGTTAGCATGTACTGCATTAAAATGCTAAAACAACGGTAAGGCATGATTCCTATCATTACAAACAGACAAAAGTGTATCATCAATATTACCTTCCGTAGAATGTTACGTTGCGGATTTCGTGTTTGAATTTTGTTTGTTCATGATCAGCCACAATGATGTTGGTTAAAATAGACCGTGCCAATGATCCCGATAATCTTTTTCAATTTGTATAAGTAACCTTCTTATTCCTAAAGTTGATATTATGCTTATCCATTACTAATTATTATTTGTGACAAGAAATCGTTGATATCATATATTTTCTTTATGAAAATATTTTCAAAATTTTCTTTACATTTTAAAGGTTATCAATGTAACACAATCTGATGCACGTCGTAGACAATTTTTAACACGTTACAGCCCATCAGATGAAACTATGGATACAACTAATCTCAATGAATTTATACCATCAACTGAATTAATTAGTGAAAATGAAATGTATACAAGAGAATGTGATACAGACTTTACATTTTATTCTAAAGATTATTATGGTATGATTAAAGCAGATGAAGGGGATTCATCTGATTTACAGTCATTGAAAGTGTTAACTGAAGAATTTCATATACCCGAGAAGTTATGTATTAAATGTTCACCTCCTGGTAGATTGGTTACAATACCACATCCAACTTATTTAAATGGACAATTTAGTATGTTACACATATATCATGTATTATTTGTTAAAATTTCCTATATTGTCAGCATGCGTTTGAGATGATTGTTGAGTTCCATTGAAATTATGAATCGATCTATGTTGGACAACCTTGAAGCATTGCACTGCTTTTTTGTCTTAGTATGACGGGAATCCTCAACAGTGTGCTCCCATGAGCCCACAACCGGTATGCAAATCTAACTTCAATTAGTATTTGAGAAGTAGAGCTAAACTGTGTCGATTGTGAAAAAGCTACCTAACGAAGACAGTAGAAAATGGTCATGCTATATTGTGGATCGATTGGGGTTTGACCTGTACACTATTGGATCCCGTCTCAGGGTTTCACATGTTAAACGTTCGCGTGCGAAACCGAAAGTCCTGGATTTGATTCCCTGATCTGGGGTCGTCAACGCTCACATCTGAGGAGTGCAACGCTACGATGAAACGGCCGTCCAGTGCTTCAAGGTTTTCAGTAGTTGTCAAACTCCGATCAGCTCATAGTTTCAATAGTTTCCTATATTATTATTATTGTGTTTCTTCGAATATGTCTATTCTAACAATGTTGCTGATAATTTATATTGTATCAAAGAAATAGAGTTATGCAGTGGGATTTGATGTAATTGTTCATTAGTTTAAGCTGCCATACTTTGTCATACTCTATCTTCCCTTAAACTATGAGATTAAAATCGCTTCATGTCCTTTCTACGTACTATTTCTTTCTTCCTGTACTATATCTTTATATGCAATCTTTCTTTATATATTACCACCATTGAGTTAACTACTTCTATCAATCCGGTGTTCATCTTGCTGTGCTAATGCGGTATGGCAATTTAGACGGATGCATATATGTTACTGGTCCTACGTTGTAGCTGACTGACTGCCATACTTTAAGTCAACTATATGAAAAATAGGTCTAGATTTAATATTTCTCTGTCGTAATAATTATTGGAAATTACTTATTTACATGATGACTAAACAGCCATAATGCATTGATAAATGACGTCACTTTGTTTAAAACTCTTATCCTTATTAACTTCGATCTCAATCAATATTGACTGTTTATATATGAGTGCTGCACTGGAGAAACGCATGTCTGAGTTCTTATAACCTACATTTTCAAGTTGTTTATTAAAATTATTCAGACTCTTGTCTAGTATGTGCATTGTTTCGTGGATGTTTCATGATTATGACTTTCAGAACCGTAATAATTCTAACCAATTCATGTTTCACCCATAGTCCTGGTCTTTCACATAATTCATACTTATTTATTTATTTATTTGAATACATAAATATTGGTACAAAGGGGCACCGAATACACATGCGCTACACAAGTCATTTAATTTGTTTGTGGGCTTTGATACTACCCGGGTGTCCGGACCGAAGCAGGTGGTTTTCTTGGGGGGCCACACCTAGAGCCTTCGACCTAAAGGCTTTTTTAAATTATAATAGGTAAAGTAGAATGAAACGTTTAGTTCACTAATCAAATCTTAATCTTTAAATCATAGAACTTCAGCTTCATATAGTGCTTATATCTTTTCATTTGCAACACATTAGTCAGTGTTATTAATACTGTCTTAATGAAGTTTAACGTTAAAATTGTTACCGTAACATAAATCGTATATCCTTTACTGAAACAAATAATGTTATTTTTATCAAATGTATAAAATATCTCACGTGAACATTATACTTCAGTGCATCTAAATTAACTGTAATGATTTAAATTCTATGATGGTTACATGAAGATTTATTTGTTAATATAACTGCCTTCTCGTGGCGAGGGTGTTGTTTACGAAAACGAGAGGACGAAAAACGAATGTCCGGAGCTTTAACCGGATCTCAAACCAATGGTGCACATGGGCTCCAGTATCCTGAAGGAACAAATGGCGTGTGAACCAATTTTCGGTCACCGGCTACCATGGAACTGCATCTCCTTACGATGCTCCACTGCCTTGTGGATCAGATCTTCAGGTCGAAGGCTCGGGGTGTGGCCCCCTAAGAAAACCACCTGCTTCGGTTTGGGCACCCGGGCAGTATCACAGCCCTCACACATATCGAATGAGATTAGTGTGGCGCATATGTATTTGGTGCCTTCTTGTACCAATATCTATGTGTTAAAATAAATAAATAAATAATAAACTTATATGAAGTGGTATTTGAATTTAGCTCCACTATTATTCATCATTTAATATGGAATAATCTTCAAAAGAGAAACCAGTAGGTCCTGGGTTCGAGCCCCGCGTGGTGCGGGATCGTGGATGCGCACTGCTGAGGATTCCCATACTAGGACGAAACGGCCGTCCAGTGCTTCCAGGTTTTCAATGGTGGTCTAGCTTCAACTGACTCATGATTTCAATCTGTGAAAATTTCTAAAAATCTCCACAAACCCCTTCTGATAAAAAGATAATTAAGCATATTCAGTGGTATCATCTATGTTTCATTGTTTACAGATCAATACAATTTTCCTTACTGTTTGTTTTAATCATTCAGTTTATTGAATGATTATTTTATATATAATCGTTTATTTGTTATTTTTTTTATAGATTTTCATACAATAGATTTAAGCTCTGTTCTACCTATTTTAGTATTGAATTTACAAAAAAATGATAATATGGTTAATATGTCTACATTTTCTGGAACTAAATCAGTTATTGCATTACAAACTGGTTTATTAAGTTAGTTCACCATTGTTTTTTTTATTTATTATTTAATATTGATTTTATTAGTAATTATCAAGTATAGTGTTTGTTTATATACAAAGTGATACGAACAGAGAAATGAATAGGCTATGATAAATAATGGAAACTATTTTTGGGTACATTATCTCATTTAATTCAAATCTTGTAAAACATTAACATTTATTTTTGTTCTTAGTTTATTCTACAGACTATAAGGTTTTGTTTGATGCATGATTCATTGCCAGAATGTTTCCTGTTCCATAGCTATTGTAATTTAAACGTACTCTTTTGTACTCTGTTTTCTATTTTAATCCTCAGTTTTAGGCATAATTGTATTTTCCTAATTGTTTGTACGTTGTGGTCTTGTTAGTCATTTATTTATTCATGTATCTTTTTACACTAATCTCAATCGGAACCAAATTGGAGTGTGAATCGGAATCGGGAATAAATCGAGTAGTGTTCCGGTTGAGTTGTCTTCTCTCTCTTTTGCCTGTTTGTCAGACAGTCAGGTGACAGAATAGTTTTCGTTTCTAGTCTCACTTCGAACTCACGCATACTAGCCTAAAGGTTAAACCCCTCAGCCGGCTTGACAAGGTCATAGTCTAGATTTTGACAAGCTATCTTCTGCATATTAATGGGTAGACAGATCAAGGACGTAAGACAAAGATATTTTATTATTTGAATATTGTAAGTTGATAGTATAATTCCTTCTCACTTTTATTAAAGTCAGATATTGTACATTTATCACAATCAAAGTGTTATTCGATAACGTTGAAAATATATATCTCCTAAAAGTCACATTTTTTAGTAATTTCTAATTTAGAGAAAGGTAGACATTTCCCATTTCGTCTTAAGTCTTTATTTCCACTACTATCGTTCTCTCTAGCCCGCTTCAGTTTAGGCACCCGGACTGTATCATAACCCACACACAAATCAAGTGAGTTGTGTGGTGCATATGTATTCGGTGCCCCTTCGTACCAACATTTATGTGTTCCCTCTATTATATATTATCAACATTTAAGGTATTCTAAGGTTTGGGCTGAAATTAGCAAAAATCTGTATGGTGTTTCATTCTGTTCATCAACTGTTCTTCAGTAATACCTAAAAAAGTACTTTTAAATCCTGATGTGGTGAGACCATAAATTATCAACCACTTTGAACGACGCTAAAGTGACCTTGAAAGTATCTATCTACTTACTAGTGTTAAATGAGGGTTATAAACCAGTGTGAAGAATTAGGATTATGTTTTTTAGTCGATGGTCATGGTTAAGATTTAGATTTAGGGTTTTCATCACGATCATCAGCTATAATGCCAAAACGCTATTTGGCCAAATGAATGAATGGATTTCGCGTCAAAATCCAAAACATATTATTGTAAATCTGAATGGCTCCTCCATAAATTATAGTCTCGCCAAACTATTGTTGATGTAGTTATTTTAATATACAACTTAATAAAATAAAACTGTACATTGTTCTTCTCAATTTTGATCATATATGCTTTCAGTAGTATATTATGAAAAATTACCATTATTTTATTGTTTATTTATTTTCTATTATCAAGATCGTTTATTATGTGTGATACGTACTCCATCTCGTACTACTCATGTTCAACAAATGATCAACACTTTTAAATCGTCTGGAATTAATTCTAAAGAGAATGATAAACAAAACAATAATACTAAAATAGACTTTGTTTACTCAAATGATGAATTGGCTGGTTATTTTTCTGATAATATTGATAAAGATTATAAATTTAATAAAATTTTAGTCAATGTTCCTTGTTCAGCTGATCGTTACGCAATCACATCTGGTGCTACACATGTTTTTGAAATGGGACAAGCTCATTTACGTGCTTATTTACCGAAAATTCAGTTAAATCTTCTCCGGTGAGTTTTGGTAGATTTTTTCTAAACTGTATATGATAATAAATAAAATCCGATCGTATAGTGCACTCAAGTAAAAATTACTTACGCGATCAGATTGTTGGTACCCTCTCCTCTTGATTAAGTGAAAGGAGTCAACCCAAAAGTCGTCATTAGCACAGAACTTCCTGGCATTGATGGGCGTTGGCCCAAGTTGTCATACTACATTACCATTACGATATGAATGTAGTTTGGTGAATCACAATGAGAAAGACTGAATTTTTGGAATATAGTCCAAGAAGATACAGTGAAAAAACAAAGTATTTATCGAAAAAACATTGGGATTCAAAATTGATAAAATGATAGAAAGTTGATGGTTGGAGATAGTAGACAAGAAATTTTGAACCTAGTTTTCGTGTTATTTGGCACTTGTTAACAAGATATGTACCTGTCATTTTGATGGAACTGATGCTCCCTGGCGGAATCAATCTCATATCATCCAATTTTGTTTCAATATATAATTACTACTGTGATTGATTGCATAGTGTACAGTTAATGCTTTTTTTCCCTCATATTATTACATCCTACTCTTCTGTAGTCAAGCAATGGAATTATGTCAACCTAACGGTTATGTTGTCTATTCAACATCAACATTATCACCAGGTCAAAATCAAGAAATTATTCAATCATTTATACTGAATCATTCAAAGAATATTAATTTCACATTGATCAATTTAAAACCATTGTATGATTTATTAACTGTTTGTTATTCTAAATTAGGTCTAAAAATTATTCCGATTCATTTACCTTTATTTGATAATATGAATGAAAATAATCATAATACAAATCTATCTTCAAATAATACTTGTCATGGTTTATTAATTATTCCATCGATATCGTGTAACTATGGTCCAACTTTTATTGTAAAATTTAAACGCCTTCCTTAATTGATCTTTTTCAATTGGATAACTTTGTTACTATGTAAATTTGCTTATGATATTTATAAATATATATGTTAGTAATATTATTATTATTTTTAATCTTAGGATTAATGTTATTTTATACATTTCTGATCATTCAACTATTTGTAATGGAATGTTAACATTACTAAATTTAATTGTGTAACTATCAAAAATTAGGAAGCATTGGACAGTTTTTTCATTCTATTATATAACTCTTCAACCGTTCCCATCTATAATTCAACAGGGAATCGAATATAGATTCTTAGGTTTCGTAGCTAGTGTTTAACATTTAGACCACTAAGTCGTTACTCAATATTATATATTTATATATCAATTAATGAGATTGCTTGATCATCTTACGCTGTTATTGCGAGATAGCTGTCTCATAACTGACTTGGTTAAGCTGCACTAGTCATAGCTTCTCACTGCAACTACAGGGAAATTGGTTTTCATTAATGATCTTTATTATTATTTGAAGAATTATAAGTCATACTAGATGAAGATATCTTTTTAATCGGGAATTCATCAGTGTCTCACACACACATACACATGACCGTTCAGGATTAAACTAAGAACATGATGATCATCACGAATTGACTGAAGTTAGTAAATATTGGTCAATAAATATCGAATGTTTAGGTGAATGATACAGTATTGATTATGTGATTTTGAAGATTTTGTACTTGATGTTGCGCATATATGAAAAATTGCAATAGGTATAGCAAATTGAAATCATTCCTCTAATGAAACATTCATGTATATTACTTAACACTTGAGCGTAATTTAAATACATATATTTAACCTGGTTCGAACTCATATATACTTTATTGTGATGTATTTTTGAATGCTATTAGTATTAATCGTTCAAACTTCAGACGAAAGAGTTACATATGAGCCTAGAACTTGTTTGACAGCTTGGTGTCTAGCATCATCATCCTCAGAAATAGTTACGTAATAATATGTTCAAAGAGTAATCTAATTTAGCCGCAACAATTTTATAACGATTAACTGCTGGTGGCTGTTGAAATATCAGCATAGAATACTGAAGTCTCGTTTAACCTTTACCACCTTACGGTATTCTTAATTTGTATAAAATATCCACCTATATATCAAAGAACAAGTACATTGGGGACTACTGTTTTGTGTATTAATTTGTGGCTGGGAAATGCGGAGTATGGAAGTAGAATATATGAGTAGGCTGCTATTGTTTGATCATGTATAACTTCGAAGCATTGCTCGTGTATGGTAGAATCATTGAGTGAGTAATGCTAATGTTAAGCGTTAGGGTTTAAGTAGAAATGCTAAGTTGATTGATTAATCAAGTTGTAAACCTTCATTGTACGCATTTAAACTGACGACCGACAGTGTGAATTAGAGTTGAGACCAGTATCTCTCTCCTTGCTCCTTCTAATCTATCATCGCTTAGTGTGTTTATAGCGATAGTTCAACACCTAGGGAAATGTTTAACTACCATCTTTTCTGTCGACGGTATGAAATCTATCGAGTCCCTGTACTCATATTTGAACTGAATCTTATAAGCATGGATATACCAATGAACTATTATAGAATAGCTCTCAAAAATACAAATCTTTGCAATGATCCTTGGACACTTAGACGTATTATTCATTCATACAACTTCAATTTCTCATCTTTTCATTATGAGATAAATGAAAGTTTTTTAGACTGAACAATATAACTGATTAAAATATCCACATTCTGAATGCTGTGTATACCTATTCCAACTTGTCACACGTTTGCACTATTTCACACTATACAATCATACTGATTAAAATAATGCCATATAGTAATTCAAATTTGGCATATTTACGTAATCACTTTATAATATCGAAACTAAAACTAAAAATGTTTACAAATAAACTTTGTGTAACCCATTAAACATTTACGATCTTGCATGCGAGATTCAAACCCAGGACTTTCGGGATCGTGGATGCACACTGCTCAGAAGTCCCATAATAGAATAAGACAGCCATCTAATTCTTCCAGATTTTCAATCGTGATCTATCTGAAATCGACTTATGAATTGAACTATTAAATTACTATCATCTCATTAAACTTCCATTCTGATCATAACCTATTCAGCTCTTATTGACTGAGTAAAGTTGATGTTTTTTTCTAAATACTTCTAATATTCATTTAATGAAGAAGGGAACACTAACATAAATTACTAGTATAATTCATTTTTAAAAAAATCACATAAAATTACAATTATTCACCAAGTATATTTTACTATATACATTTAAATGTTAATATTAATTTGTAAATTGTATAGGACAATTGAATTCTTTCGATGTAAATAATTTGAATGTATACTGATTTGATGTAATGAATTTCATAAAATTTTGCCGAATTTGTTCAATAAGATTGAGTACTTTCGAAGATTCATTCTTTCAATAATAATAATAAATCATAATGGTAATAGAATGGTTTGTTTTAAAAGAGGGAATAGTTTTAAATACAAATTAACATAGAAACAAAACTATATAGACCGCCATGTGTATTTCAATTCGATTTTCGCACAAAATTCGAAATACAATGAAAAAATTTCAATAGTTGTAATCATGAGTCAATCGAAGCTAGACCACCATAGAATACCTGGAAGCACTGGACAGCGGTTTCCCCCTTTTGGGTTTCCTCAGCAGTGCGCATCCACGATCCCGACACGCGACATTCGGACCCAAGACCTATCAGTCTCGCGCGCGAGCGCTTAACCATTAGACCACTGAGCCGGCCAGTATCCAACGGTGTTAATGTCTAACTTCAACCAATCCACGAAGTTACGCCACCGTACACCATTGTCTTCAGTGGGCCGTCCAGTACTTGCAGGTTTTCTATGGTGGTCTAGTTTCAATTAACTCATGGTTTCAACAATTGAAATTTCTAAAAATCTCTACAAAACCCCTTCTGACAATGAAGAATACTATTCATCTTACTAACTAAAGATTATTGTTGCTTTAGTTCGGGAATTGATAAAATTGTATTTTGTACAATTACACATAATAAATATGCCATGATATATAAACTAGATTAGGGAAAATACCTGCTTACGATTGTATTTGAGTTTACTTAACGTGGATTACGATGGAATCAATGTTTTTGTAGATAAAATGTATCCTCCCACTTTAATTAGGTTTTATGATCGTAACATCTAACTCTATAATATTTTGCTCATTAGAAACACTAAATCAGTATTAATCATATCAAAACTATTTAACCAACGTAAATTTGTCATTATAACTAGAGGTGTTTGGTGACTAGCAGTGGAATTTAAGACATGCGTTTCGTTCTCTTTAAGACTTGTTATTTAGTCCTGGAGTGAACATCAACTTTGAGATGCAGGTTGATCCAGCTAACGATTTCCAGAGGGGACAAGACGAACTTCCTGAATTTCACTGCCAGCCATCATCCATTTTTGCTTACAATGCTTGTCACATAAGGTGATATAGAAACAATTCGCACATTATGCACATATGCCAACAAGAGACTGATCAATTGTAGTCCTAAATAATAATGGGAAGATTCAAGTAAACAATACCAAGTGAATTTAAACTTCACCCCATTTCACAAGCAAGTGGCTGTCAGGGCCCAATAGCTAAGTGGATAACGCGATGGAGTTTTAAGCGAACGGTACTGGGTTCGAGTGACAGAGTGAACATCAACTCTGAGATGCAGGCACGTCCAGCTGACGAGTCCCAAATAAAAGGAAATGCGCGTCCTGCATTCCACTACTAGTCACTATCTATCTTTGTATATAATGCTTGTGAATTGAGGCTACATCGAGGAAATATGCACAGACTAATCGAATTGCAGTCCTAAATAACAATGGGAAGATACAAGTAAACAGCACCAAATGAATTTATTTCTATTGATAGGTTGAACAATAATACTAACCAGCATAGTATGGAGTATATTTCAGTTTTCTGCAATAAAATCAAATTATCTTACCTCAAACTGTTGTGAACTCATAATACAGGGAAATTCAATATCCTGTAACCATAGAAGAGGATAAATTACTCTTCTAAAATGATCTGAATATAATTTCTTCAAATATTCAGAATCTTTCTGTGAAATAATAAATAAAAGATAAAAAGTGACACATTTTCATAACCTTCTAGGGTTTATTTTGATTCTTTACATTGTAAATAGTATTCGAAACGTGATTTACTTGTATGAAAATGATGAAATACTTATACGATTGATTCAACAGTCAAAATGCATTCAGAAAGCCTTAAAGTGTTAAAGAATATGTGAGTTATAAATAATTATGAATTACTCATATCCGTATAAATGTTGTACATCTTGAAGTTTAACTAGAAAAGTAGCTTAATTCTCTTTCTAATTTCAGTTGATTAAAATAAATAGTTCCAAATGTGTAATGCTACAATCAATTTCTCAGATGACCAACACGGAAGTGGTATATAAACAACTGGATTTAAATAGGAAGATATACTTTGAAAACATGTGAAGGTGATATACTAGAGAAACCAAATAGATAAAATTCCCATTCATGATAATGCAAAAGGTGAAAAATAAGTGTTTTCAAGCTTCTTGAGTTTCTATTAGTGAGGGGATTTAAAACTATCCTAGAGTTGTAAACTGAACTATTCCGTTCTCAGTAATAAAGCTTACTGAGTAGAATTGGTCTTTTCTTTTTGTATATTTTGGTTGATCAGGTGTAGAATAATGCATCAGTAAGTGAATTAAACTGGAGAATATAACAAAAACATATTTTCATTAATTTAGAGAAACTGTCTTACCCTACTATTTCCTGGAATTTCTTTCAGACGATCTTGCCACGAAACCTATCAAATAAAATCAAGGAGAATAGAGAACAGATAAATATTCTATTTGATTTTAATAAAATATATGAGTATGAGACAGAGAGAAACTTGACGTTCAGACAATGAATTCATTAACACTAAAGAGTAAAAGGTTGAGTTCATATCTGCTTAGAAAAACACACAAAAATTTTATCACTTCATAGATTGACGTCATGTGATCTCGAAATAAATAGGACTTTCTTTATGGAGATCCTCGATTGCCTAAA